GGCACTATAGAAGCGGCCAAACAATTGCAACTCATTTACGGCGAGAGTCGTATCGTTTTGAGGCCGCGGGAGAAGAAGTTGGGTTTGGGAACCGCTTATATGCACGGATTGAAGCACTCCAGAGGCCACTTCGTTATCATCATGGACTCAGACCTATCGCATCACGTAATCAATAGTTATTTAATGAGATAATTAACACAACGCCCACCCGCTATAGTGTACCATATTTTATGGGTTGTGTTCACTATAACGGGAGTGTTTGTTGTGTGCATTAGTGTTGGCCAGTGTTTTGTGACCACTATTTTGTATGTTTAGCCGAAATTCATTCCGCAATTCATCGAAATGCAAGCGAAGACGGGATCAGATGTGGTGACGGGTACGCGATATGCGGGCGACGGCGGTGTCTACGGCTGGGACTTCAGGCGGAAGTTGATCTCTCGCGGCGCCAACTATTTGACGCAAGTGTTGCTGAGGCCGGGCGTGTCTGACCTGACGGGCAGTTTCCGGCTCTACAAGAGAGAGGTGTTGGAGAAACTGGTGGCGAGTTGTGTCAGCAAAGGCTATGTGTTTCAGATGGAAATGATGGCCAGAGCTAACGCTATGGGCTATCGGGTGTCTGAAGTGCCCATCAGTTTTGTGGATCGGGTCTACGGAGAGAGCAAAATGGGCGCAATGGAGATCATTCAGTTCGCCAAAGGGTTACTCTATCTCTTCTCTACTCTCTAACAGAGTATCCGTAGAGAGAGAGAGAGAGAGAGAGAGAGAGAGAATTGTATTTTTATGTTTTATAATTTGATTAATAAATTATTTGGATNGAGAGAGAGAGAGAGAGAGAGAGAGAGAGAGATTTGAATTGTATTTTTATGTTTTATAATTTGATTAATAAATTATTTGGATTTTATTTTTAATTATGTTTTGTATAAATTGTTTTATAAATCTTGAATTCAAGTCTCAATCAGTTATTGAGTGAATTGTTTGAAAACTTGCCGTAATTTCTGTCGAAAAGTTCTAACAAAAAACTCAACTTTTTTTGAAAAGTTTCAAACGGTTTGAGCGTTTGTTTTGAAATGTCTTCAGACGGGAACCGATTAAAGACAAGGAGTGGTAAGAGTTATGCGTTCGCCAAACAAGACATGTCTTCGGGAAGAAGTCATGTCATGAATGACGACGTCTTGGGATTGATATTCAATGAGCTTTCGGTGAAATCACTGCTGAAAGTGGAGTCGGTTTGCAATCAATTCATGGATTGTGTGGGAAGTGCTCTGAAGAGGAAGAATGCATTAATGGTTAGATTTTATGATTATAACTGTAATAAAGAGTATCACGTGTTCAGCGATGGAGACATAAGTGACGCCATTTGCAGCCAAACCACGACTGAAGCCGAAGAATATTTGAGAGAAACTACTTATGATTTAACTAAAAGTGTCAATACGTTTGGATCAATACTGAAGAAGTGTTCGCACATCAAGTGTTTGTATTTGGGAAGCGCTTGGATTGACGAGAAGACAATCGCTATGATTGTCACCCATTGTTCACAACTGAAGCGCTTGTATTTGTCATACATTCAGACCAAGACATCAGCGGAAGTATTAAACGACGCGTTAAGACCTTTATTGCCTCAATTGTCTCATTTGACTCTCGAAGACAACGACTCTGTAGTGAACAATACTATGCAATCGTTGCCACAATTATCATCGCTTGTGTCCATTAAATTATCCACAGATAAGAGTTCAGCGATTGATTGTTTGCCGCAAAGTATTGGTCGCCTAAGTCTTTCGGACACAATCGACATATCAGTGGATACGCTGAAGAAGAGATGTCCACTTCTGGAAGCCCTTCACCTAATGGATTATCATCACGATTCTGACCAATACTGGGATCAACTGTTTGCCGACATTTGCGCACATTTTGCGCTCAAACGACTTCATTGGGAAGTGTTGTACTTCTCGGCGAATCTGTTCTTCAAGAATGTCTCAAAACTCTCGCAATTGAGACATTTGTCGATCCATTTATGTAACGATGGTTTGGACACAAATGCCATGCAATCGATGCCATCACTCAAGTCATTGTCATTAAGTGGACTGAAATGTATGCCAAAAATGTTGTCCAAATTGAACCAAATATTTCCATCGGTTAAGCGTTTAGTATTGACTGATATTGTCATCAAATGCGAGTGCAGTGATGGCCACGAAGATAGGTTTGCGGGCAGTTTTCCCGATGATTGTGAAGAATGTATATACAAATGCCTGCAATTATGGTCACAATTGCCGCAATTGAAGCGAATCACGTTCACAGACGAAGAGCGCATGTTTATCATTGAATCCAATGATCTGTCACTCATGAGTGAACTAACTTTGATACCATTCTCTGGTCTGCGGTCCAAACATATGCCACAATTGGCCGCTTTAGTGGCCGATTGTGTGCATAACATGTCGCCTAAGAAGTATGTAAGGCTTGAATTGGATTCTGATTTTAAAGAACCACTTCTTCGGCGTTTGCATGACATGAATGTCACGATTCCTAACAATCTTTTTCTCAAATTCTAAGGTTTTTGAGTGATTTTGTTTGAAATGTGTTTTAAAATCAATTAATTCAATATATTTGTCATTTTATATTTGATTCAGTGATTAGTTTTCATTTTGAATTTTATTTAATATCTGTATTTAAATTTTGTTAAAAATATTCATTTCTTTTCTAATTTTTTAAATGCAAAACAAATTTTTATTTTATTGGATTTAATTTGTATTAAACATTAATAAATAAAATTATTAATGTTTAATCAATATTTAATTTAATTAAACTATAGTTTTACACATAATTATTATTAATGTTTAGAATAATAATTATGTAGTTAATTACTTAATAACTTGTAAAACTTATTCATTATTTATGATTTTTTAAGAAATGAAAATACTTTGTAATACTTTTACTTTTAATTTATACAAATTGTTTCTCAACTAAAATGACATTAATGTTTATCAAAATTATAAATTAATTGTATTTTTAATTTTACATTATTATAAATAAACTATTAGTAAATAATTAATGATAACTAATTAATTAAAGTTAGTTAAAATGGAAAAGTTTATTTTAATCATTTAAACAAAAATAATCATACATCCTCTTATGAAGAGATTATTACAAATATGAAGCTGAAAATCAAATTATTTTTACTATTGTTTCAATATTACTAATTAGAATTTTATCATAAAATCACAATTAGATTAACATGTGGTGAATAACACAAATGTTCACACAATTTGTTATAAATGTAGAGATTTATCGTGATTTAGGTTTGGTATATATTGATTGCAAAAAGTGTATAATTATAACTGTTTTATATTTTAATTTATTAATACTATTTAGTAATAATGATTAAACCAATAGAGTTAGCAGTTTTTGTCACACAATGTTTGCTATTTACTACAGCATTGTCCGACTCTACCAGTGATATACAGGCTATTAATCTGAAGGTTGAATATCTGGTCAATCCATTAGCTGTAGACATACCTCAACCCCGACTTCAATGGACACTACAGGCGCTGAATGAGACGAAACAGAATTTGTCGCAAAAGGCTTATCAAATACTTGTGGCCACAGATCGGCAAAGTCTGGACAAAAACGTCGGTAATCTATGGGACAGTAAGAAAGTGGTGAGCGATCGGACCAATCATATTAAATATGGCGGCACTCCGTTGAAGGCCGGTATGAGAGCACATTGGAAAGTGAATGTATGGGATCAGAATGACCGCGTGCTCGACAAACATCCGGGTTATATCGGTTTCTGGGATAAAGGCTTAGATGCTAGAGATTGGACGGCCCAATGGATTGGTGCTCCCAAAGGCACACAACAACAGGCACTCAAAAATCTCGCAGATATTGACAATAAAGTGAGTTATATTTTAACGTTAACTAAAACACAATTAACTTTTTGTCATTTTCTACACCAAAATAGTTGATTAAATCAAAGCCCGCTTTAGTGCCCGTCCTATACCTTAGAAAAAGTTTCACAACAAACTCAAAAGTAAAATCGGCTAAACTGTATGCCACGGCTCAAGGCGTGTATCAACTGTCTATCAATGGCCGTGTGATTAACAAATCAATTCTCGACCCGGGATTTACCGACTATAACAAGACTATCCAATACCAGGCCTATGACGTGAGTGATCAGTTGGCGGGCGAAAATACCATAAGCGTACTGTTGGGCACGGGTTGGTACAGCAGTTACGTGTCGTATGAACACAAGTACCACCACTTCGGGTCGGATCAGCATATGTTGGTTGAGTTGCATATTGAATATGAAGATAAGACTACTGTTGTTGTCAAGTCTGATAACACGTGGAAAGTAAGCACCGGTTCCTACATATACTCAGACCTATTGATGGGTGAATTGTATTATGAGAGTCGAGAGCCTAAGAACTGGAGAGAGTCGGCCTATGATGACAGCCACTGGCCATCAGTGGTCACTAAACCCATAGATAAGACGGTGGCTCTCGTGGCCGATAGGGCTGAACCGGTTCGGGCGATACAAGTGCTCGAGCCTAAGACCAAACACGAGAGTCAACTCGGCGTTTGGGTCTTTGATTTTGGCCAGAATATGGTCGGTTGGGTTCAAATCCAAATGCCTAAAGCATATGACGCGAGTCGTGTGCAGTTAAGACACGCCGAGGCACTCAACCCTAACGGAACCATTTATGTGCTGAACCTGCGCTCGGCTTTGGCCACCGATACTTATGTGTTGGACAGTAAGTTTATAATCAATGTATTATTAGTTTATGAACTTATTCTATGTGTTTAAATAGAGGTCAACCGTACGACAGAGCTTTCACTTGAGCCGCACTTTACAACACATGGCTTCCGATACGTTGAGGTCACGGGATATCCGGGAGAACCAGCGCTATCGGCCATTAAGGGTATTGTTATCCATTCAGACACAGCATTTAAATCACACTTTGAGACCTCAAACAAAATGGTCAATCAGTTGTTCTCAAACATCAATTGGGGTCAAAGGGGAAACTTCCTGTCCGTCCCGACAGACTGTCCGCAACGGGACGAGAGGCTGGGCTGGACGGGAGACGCAGAGGTGTTCGCCCATACGGCCACTTATAACGCCGATGTGTCCGCCTTTTACACCAAATGGTTGCGTGACTTACGAGACTCGCAGTCCACTGAAGGTGGATATCCTAATGTGGCGCCCAAAGTGTGGGGCCGGACAACAATGGGCAACGGGTCGCCCGCCTGGGCTGACATTGCGGTGATATTGCCGTACACTCTGTGGCGACAGTACGGAGACATTCAGGCCGTCGAAGACAGTTATGAGTCAATGAAACGCTATATGTCTT